CCCCAAGTTTCCTTCTTTTTGAAGGCTGAATAATATTTCACCATATGTATGTACCACATTTTCTTAATGGTCTGTTATGGGCACAGGCTGGTTTATTATCTTGGCAATTGTGAATAATGCTGAGTGAACATGGGGCTGTAGATAACTCCTTGATATACTGATTTATGTATTTATTCATGGTTTGACATAGGGTCTCACTGTATAGTGCAGGCTGGCCTTGAACTCATGGCAATCCTACTGCCTCAGCCTCCCAAGTGGTGGGATTACAGGCATGGGCCACCACAACTGGCTTTGATTTTTATTTCTTTTGGATATAAACACAGCAGTGGAATTGCTGGATCACATGGTAGTTCTATTTTTAACTTTCTGAGACTCCTTCATGATATTTTACAGCCTTACCCACAGCATACGGTTTCCTTTTGCCTACATCTTTGCCAGCATTTGTTATCTTTTGTCTTTTTGATGAAAAGTAGGGATGTGAGGAATATAGCAAAGATATGTGACTTCTGGTTTTTTGGCTTTGACTTCTCCAGATGTCACATTATGGTTTTAATTTCTATTTATCCAAACATTAGTGATGTGCAATATTCTTTATTTGTACATCTTCTTTTGAAGAATGTCTGTCCAAGCCTATTAAAACCGCATCCCATTTTGTAGTGTTTTGGGGATCCTTGATTTGAAGAATGGTGATAAGGAGCAGGTTTTTCTGAGTGTTGCTCACAGACCATCTGTCAGAATTGGAGGGGATGGGACTGGGGATTTAGCCCAGTGGCAAAAGTGCCTGCCTGGCAAGTGCAAGGTCATGAGTTCGGTTCCTGGTACCGGACCAAAACCAAAAAAAAAAAAAAAAAAAAAATTGGAGGGGAGGAGAGAGGAAGAGGGTACCGAGGAGGGGTCTGTTGGTGGGCACATAGAAAACCGTGGAACTCTTTTGGAGTGAGTGCCTGGGATTTTGTATTTTCATTCAACTCTTAGATACTTTAGATGAATTTTTTTTTTTTTTTTTTTTTTTTTTTTTTTTTTTCTGGTACTGGGAACCGAACTCACGACCTTGTACTTGCCAGGCAGGCACTTTTTTTTGCTACAGGTCTTGTTATGTAGGCCAGGCTGGCCTTGAACTCACAGTGATGCTCTTGCTTCAGCCTCCCAAATGCTGGGATGATAAGCATGTGCCACCATGCCCGGCTGTTAGATGATTCTTACACCCACTGAAATGTGGAAACTCCGCCCCGGTGTAGGATACTCTTGGGAAATCTGCAGCTGTGATCTCTAGGGCCTACAGGACGCGCCAGGAGTGTGTCAGGGAAATAACTGCAGAGCCGCTCCTCTGATGATGGTAAGGTTGACATATAAAGTAGTTTCAACTCCTAAAACAGCTCTGTGTTAGGGAGTGGAAGGGATCTGATAGGGTTTGATCGTTGACCTCCGGAAGTAAAACCTCCGGCTCTTACAGGCCGGCCCTAGGGAGAAACGTGGAGAAGGAATGGCACCACCTAGCGGTGAGAAAGAGTTACAAAACATTTTACCGGGGAAAAAATTTCTCCTGTCCTATTTTCCCCAAAATAAAACCTAACTGGAAAATAAACTGTAGCATGATTTTTCAGCGTGCTTGTTATATAAGCCCCACTCCCAGAATAAGCCCCAGGTAAGAGCCTCAGCCAGATGGACGCATTTAGTGTGACCGTTACAGTACATGATGGATATATTAAATTATAAAATACTAATATATGACTATAAATAAATATTGACATTAATACTTAAATGATAATATAAATTGTAATTAAGTATTCATAAGTACTCAAGCGGGCACCTTTGGACAACAATAAACACCTTTGTGAACTGATGAGCTTGAGGTTTATTACCAAATGACCGGTGGAGTGCAGTCGTGTATAGACACCCGGGAAACGACCTTTCCAACCTGAAGCTTAGCAGGAGATCGCAGACCCCAGCTCCCGCCTGGGTGGTGGTCCTGGGAGAGATCCTGAAGCAGATGACCCAGCTAAGCTGGGCCCAGATTCATGACCCTCGCAAACTGCGACAAATGTGTATTGTTTTCAGCCACTAAATTTTGGGGTAATATGTCATACAGCAATAGATTAGTGATACAGGACTGAACTAATAGACTATTTTATTGGATGAAATCTATGTTGACAACATTTTCTTTCAGAAAGACAAGTAATGCAGCAACAAGAATAAAACTCTGTAGCTCTCTCTAGTATAATGTTTTGTGACTATAACTGCATGGGTAATTAAATATCCTCTGATCAGCCTCTTAGAAACTAAGCAGAAGCTGCTTGAATCTTTCCTGAATTTCTCAAAGAATTTCAGAATGGCAAGATCGCTCCTAAACCAGCCAGTTTGTGTGGCTAGATGAATTTATTTGCTTAGGTGAATTACTGTGGAAATTTAAAATCAGTCTTCCCTTTATAGAAAAAAAATGCAGATGGTCGGACCAAGTATATGTCAGCTGGACAGGTAAAACTAGAATGTGCTCAGTGTCTAATTGCTCCCTAAGAAAATGTCTCTACCTGAAAAAAATACAGATTAATGCAAAAAATCCTTTGCTGTTACATTGAAAGGGAAGTAAATTTCTCCTGCCTTTGATTGCTGCTTTTCCCCACTATATTTGGTGAAGTTATTTTGCTCGTGCAGCAGTAAAAGGCCTACACTCGGGAACATCAACTCTGTGCAGGTCTTAGGGCACTTAAAATTCTGCACAATCACCAGGGTCTTGGTTGAGGTAGACTCCACAGAGAGACAGAGCAATAGGTATCACTGCCAGAAAGGGCCACTCCAGAGGGTATGGGGAGCACTGATACCAGAGCAAGGGTGGGGCCGGGCAGTGTGTGGTGACTCAGTAGCTGCAGATGGAGCCAGCCAAGGATGTTTCATCATTAGAGTCTTAGTGCTGCAGAAGTACGCCCAGCATTGGGAAATAGTTCACAACACTGCTGATTGGTGGAAATAGCTTAGAACCCAACACAGGAAAGATCAATTGACAAAGAAGACCCTCATCTGTAAAGGAGTTCTTGCATTAGTAAACTTCTGCAGCTGTCTTCCTTGAGGGCTGTCTCTGTAGTCTCCGGACCAGTCTTTGTAGACTCTGCTGCGCAGTTCTACCTCTTTGCGACTTCAACTTCTAGTCCACAGCCATCCTAATCCCTGGGTTTACTTTGGCCACCTACACTTCCTTTAAATTAATTTTTTCCCCTTTCATAATCATTTCTGTTTGGGTCTCTGTGATTCCCAAGGGTCTACTAGTCCTTCCAGCAAACAAATCTGTGTCAGCAACATCCTAAACTGGGCACGGTGGTGCATGCCTGGAGTCTCAGCTACTTGGGAGGCTCAGGCAGAAGGATTTCAAGCCTGGGCAATTTAGTGTGAGATACTATCTCAGAGGAAGAAAGGGCTGGGGATGCAGCTCAGTGCTGGAGTACTGGTCCAGCACACATGAGTCTCTGGTTTGATTCTCAATACTGAAAAAAGAAATCTTTCTAAAAGCAGTGTCCCACTCCTTGTCACCTGTCCAGTGTGGAGTCACACGTGTGGAAGAGACGTCCAGAGGTCGCCATTTTCCCTTTAGTTTTTGGAAACACAGCTTGATTACATTCTGCAGGCTTCCTCTAAATTAGGTGCGGCCATGTACCAAGAGCTAGGCGATGGGATGTGGTCCTGAGCTACCCACTCTTTCTAGAACTGGCTGGTAGACACCTTGTCACTCTCTTTTATGTTTAATCCTTTGTCCCTTCCTCTATGTGCTTGGTGAATGGAGGGGATTCTGAATGAAGAGCATTCTGTCCCTTCAGAACAGCACCGTCTTGTGACATGAGCAGGAAATAAACGTCTGTTGTGTTAGCCTCTGATAGTTTGGGTATTTCTGCTACAGTAGGTGGCCTGCTGTGCTCAGTCCATGAATACCAGCTGTTTTGGCTTGAGATTTACCATAGCGGGAAACATAGACCAATAATGTCAATAGATCCCAGTTAAATATAAGCTGCATTATCAGACAACTCTTCTCCAGCACCCGATCTTTCCACTAGAGATTACTAAGTCTCAAATTCACTGATTCGACCCGCTTTCTGCTACCTTTTTTTTAACCTGTGAATGAGTTGAGAGGAAAGTACAAAGGAATGGTGAAGCCCCAGGTACAGACACTCTGGGAAAGTTGGCCTTCGCTGGCCTGGGAATGTGACGACCTGCTGCGAAATGGGGAGAGTGTTGCTTCCCAAGGGGCACCCGCCTTTGCCCAGGCTTTTCCTGAGTCAGGAGAGCTGCCCATCACCGCCGCTCACCAGTGATGTTTCTACAGGAATACTTCCATAGACAGCATCGCCTCCTTCTCCCAGGAGGAAACCATGGGCTCCAAGTCATCTGGGGATCCTCTGTCCCTAAGAGGAATAACAGATCTGCACAGGTCCGGGGCCACACATGGAATTCTTCTCCCCCAATTTTTAAGTGTCAGCCACCAGTGTGGATCCCATGCGTGTATCACTTACTGGTCACAGCAGGCGCACGCTAACACGAGCGTGGCACACTTGTGCGCCGTTCTTTCCCTGTGCACCTGCTGTTTACTTGGACTGTCCTCCTCTGCCTTTCTCTCCTTCAGAAGCTCCACTCACTGTCGGATATTGTTGGAAGCTCTCAAGGTGCACACATTGTTTCCCCAGCACTCCTTGTCTTTATTCGTGCACTTTGACGGTGTGTCCTTAGGGCAGCACACTTCATCCTGTGTGGCAATCTGAGCCCCAGTTTTGTCAGGGACAAAATACATGCTTTGTAACTATGCGTGGGATGGGTAACTGAAAGTGAGTAGTGGAAAACATGAATGGCTTTCACCTTAAATCATATAGACCCCTGCATGAGTTGTAGGACCAACTTATTTTAGGACTCCGTGGTAGCCGTAGAGACCCCGTGCTTTTGGCAGGCAGGCAGTTCTTTCTTTCTCGAGAAAGTGAAATTCAAAGTCTGTCTTTAACTTTTGAGGCTGTCTCATCGTTCATTTAAATCTTCTCTGAAGGCCTTAGTTGTTTCTTTAACTTCCACATGGCTGACTTCATCTCCTGGTTCCTCAGGGTGTAGATCAGGGGGTTGAGCAGAGGGGAGATGACCGTGAAGGTGACGTGGATGGGCTTATCTGCGGGGAGGGCGGTGAAGGGGCGGGCGTAGACGTAGATGCAGGGCACAAAGTGCAGCGTCACCACGGTGATGTGGGAGGTGCAGGTGGAGACGGCTTTCCTCCTGCCCTCGCCTGTGTGAGACCTCAGCATTGTCAGGATGACCATGTAAGATATGAGGAGAAAGAAGAATATTAACCAACTGACTAAGCCATTGTTGGAAATCATCAAGATCTCCAGAGCAAAAGTGTCAGTACAGGCGAGCTTGAGGACCTGCGGGACATCGCAGTAGAAAGTGTCGAGAACGTTGGGCCCGCAGAAGGGGAGCGGGAGCAAGAGGGCGATCTGCACGATGGAGTGGACGAAGCCGCCCAGCCAGGAGGCCGCTATTAACCCAGTGCAAACACCTCTGCTCATGATGGTCACATAGTGCAGGGGCCTGGAGATGGCCACGTAGCGGTCCAAGGCCATCACTGACAGAGAAAAAACGTCTGCTCCCCCCAGGAGGTGGAAGAAGAACATCTGGGTGACGCAGCCATGAAAGGAGATGGTCTTTCTCTCTGACAGAAGATCGATCAGGACCTTAGGCACAGTGACAGAGGAGAAGCAGATGTCCAGGACGGAGAGGTTGCGAAGCAGGAAGTACATGGGGGTGTGAAGGCGGGGCTCGCAGGTCACGGTGACCAGGATGAGGAGGTTTCCCAGCAGGGTTGCCACGTACACCGAAGCCAAGAAGACAAATAAGACCCAGCTGAGCTCTCGGGACTGAGTAATTCCCAGAAAGAGAATTTCTTTCACTCTGGTGTGATTTCCCAGATCCATTGAATCACAGTTCCTGTTTAGGGGACATCTCTGGAAAAATAACAACACAGTGACTAAATGATGTGCACTAAAGTCCAGTGTTATTATTTCTTAGGTTTTGGCTTAGGTTCTAGGGGGAAGTTCAGAAAGAACACGCGCTGTGCTTGTAATGGCGGCGCTGCTGTTTGGGACAGACCATGCGGGATTTTGACTCAGTCATCCAAGCAGACAGATTCTACCCCGGAACTCACTGAAGTGCAGCCATGCGTCTGGGAACCCGTTCATTTACTTTCAATGTGAAATCTGACACCTAACATAATAAAGCAGATGCATAAGTTTCACTGTTTGGGGAATTTATGTTCACAGAAGACATCATGAAGAGAGTTAAAAGTTTACCTGAACGTGGAAGAAGATATTTACATTTTATACTGGGTTTTATCTATATACTTGAGAAAAGATTCATATTAGGAATATATAAAAAACTTATGCAAGTCAAATAAAACTCCCAGATGACCCCAAACCCCAAATGGCAAAAGAGAGAAAGCAGTGCTTCACAAGAAGATGCCAATTCAACTCCATTAGTTCAGGTGGAGATGCAAATTGAAATTACAGCCATAAGCCACTGTGCCACTACATAAGTTAGTACCAGAAAGGCCAAACTGGAAAAGGCAGAAAACATTGAGTGCTGCTAAAGATGGGGAACAATTAGAACCCCCACACTCTGCTGGTGGGCCTCTAGAACTGTATAACCACTTTGGTGTTTGATTATATCTGCTAAAACTATATATACATATATATTTTATATATATTATATATCTATGTAGATACACATTTTCTAAGGATCTAATTGTATAACTGTATCTCTCCTAAGAATGTATATTTCTGCTGAGTGTGGTAACGCACACCTGTCATCCCAGCACTCGGGAGGCTGAGGCAGGAGGATCACTGTGAGTTCAAGAGCAGCCTAAAGTATGCAGTGAGACCCTGTCTAAAAAAAATATATATATATATATAATGTATATATGCATATATGCATTTCTACTTCCAGGACATGTCCTAGAGTAATCACAGCAACATTACCTACAATTTCCTCAAACTAGGAAAATGCAAAAAACACTATAACAGTAGAAAAGATAAATAAATTATGCTAAATTCACACCATAATCCACAGCAGTGAGAAGTACGTATATGATATCATATGAAGAGAAAAAGTATAAACCAACTGAGTGACCCATCCTTGGTAAGCGAGTCTCATAAGCGCAGCGATGTGCTAAATACCCTTTGTGTCTGAGAGCACACTGGTTTACATGTATGCAATACATGTACGCAACACTGCAGGGAGTCAGCAGGCTGACTTGTGTTCCTGGACCTCATGCTCATTGCCAAAGTGTGTACAGATTGTGTAGAAATTCCTAGAGCTGTGTGCATATGTGCGTTTTTCTGTAAGCAGCTTTAGGAAAAGGTTAAGAACAAACAGGTAGTAATTCCTTTATAATATTTAATCTTGTGTTTAAGGAATGAATTTCATATAAAGCAAAACTTAACAGACCACCCACTTTCATGATAGTTGTCTTTATAGTTACATAGTTACAGTCTTCACTTTTTATTTCCCACTCACTTCTAGAGCTGAGGTCTTTCCAAACTCTTGTGTTACGTAGATACCCCTACTGTCCACATGTAGCTCTTTCTCTGGTTCTGGTTTTCTTTTCATTTTTTTTTTCTTTCGGTTTTTTGAGACAGGGTCTCACTATGCAGTTCAGAGTGGCCTGGAGCTCACTTTGTAGCCCAGGCTGGTCTTGAACTTGCAGTGATCCTCCCGCCTCAATCTCCCAAGTGCTGGGATTATAGGCGTGTGCCACCATGTCTGGCGCTGCTTCTGGTTTTAATATCTCTCTCTCTCTCTCTTTTTTTAAAATTTGCTCTTCTAATCTTAGGGGAAAAGTCCTTTTCTATGCAGTAGTAAATATGGCTATTCATACTATAAACATTTACAGAAAGAAAACAAACTTTAATTCTCAATGAGAAATTGTGTCACCTGGATATTGGGCCCCAGAACATTTAGGCTCATTTTTAAGGTCTCAGCATTATAGAAATGTGAGCAGAGTAATGGAATTTCCTTTCTTTCTCTCTCTCTCTCTTTCTTTCTTTCTGTCTTTCATTTGGCTTTCTTTTTGCATATGTGTGTAGAGTGATTCTTACATGCTCTACCAACTGCTCATTTTTTCTCTCTGTTTTTTTTCTTTTTTTTTTGTACTGGGAATCAAACTCAGGACCTTGCGCTTGCCAGGCAGGTGCTTATGCCACTGAGCTATATCCCTGGCCTAATTTTGTCTCTTCTGAAACCTATACTATCTATAGGAAATAATGTCATCCTGATTTTATAGGCGAGGAAACAGAAAGAGAGAGAGAAAATGATTAAGTCCCTTGAGCAAGGTCTCACAGCTGGTAGAACCTTGTCTCAGGTTAAAATTTGCTTTATTTCAAGGATGCGTGCTTGTCATTCCTGCGACTGTCCTCCTCCCAGCGTTGGTCAGCTTTCCAGAAAACACTGCAAAGGCAAAGGTTCAGGACAATCTCCGCCAATCACGTCACGGTGCGTGGCACAAGATGCTGGTGTTAGAAGCTCATGAATGGCAGTGAAAGGTGTGGAACAGTGGCTTAGCCCAGCACCAGCAGAATGTCAGGGCTGAATTTGCAGTTTGAAAAATCAAACTTCACAGTCCGTACAGAAGGTGCAGAGGCACCTGCCTAGGGACCGAGGCCACCCCACAGGGCTCCACAGCATGGGGCAGGAGTGAATTCCCAGTGCCTTCCTCTCAAGTGGGGACTCCCATTGATAAGAACGGACCCAGTGGGACCCTCTGAATGGCGTCATTTTACAAAGTGAGAAGGGTACTTTAAAAGTATAGGATTATGCACATTGCATTGAAATACAAGTATATAAAAGAAGGGGGGCAGGGAAAAGACAAGGGAGCACAATTTTATGTGGCTTTCCCGTGTGAAAGTAAGGATCATGAAGCTCTTTTTTTGAATTCACCCTTCGGAAACCAGCTCACCAGGCACTGTGGGCTGAGCCTGAGCATGACGGGGCCCCTGGCTGCAGCAGTCCACAGAGCGGGCTGCCTTGTTGTCCCCGCTGAGTTGATTTTCTAGGATGCCCGCCCGCTGCAGTCTTTCCTGTTTTCATTTTTGAAAGCCCCTTACTGGTTTTTTGTTTGTTTGTTTGTTTGTTTTTTCTGGTACCGGGGATCGAACTCACGACCTTGCGCTTGCAGGGCAGGCGCTTTGCCACTGAGCTAAATCCCCAGCCTGAAAGCCCCTTATTGTTGGCTGAATCCCTCGAGGTTTTATAAAGCTTAGTGCTGAGTGGCGTTATTCATACCCAGTGACTCAGGAAGGCACAGGTAAGGTAGGTGGGTATTAAAACACCTTTCGCAAAGCCCCCGATCTTCCATTCCAGCCGGGAAGCAGAGGTGGTCAGGTGGATATTCCAAACTCGGAAGCCACCGTCACAAGCTGTTCTTCCCAGGCAGTCACCTTTCCCAGATCGAGGAAGGTCAGCACCTTCGGTCCTGTTTTCACAACACCCGCAGCCCCAACATCCTGCGAAGTCAAACACAGCCCCGTGGCTGGAACCAAGTGACCTTTCCCCTCCAGTTTGCAGGCGATACCTTCCCTCTCTCCAGTGGGAAAACTGAGCACTTTCTTCTCCGCCTCATAAAGACTTCTGGTTTTGACAGGAACATTCTCTACCTTGTAGGGTTTCTGGAAAATCAGCACAAACGGCTTCCTGGTTTCAGAAGCTCGCACACTGACACCAGGTCTCTGGGTGGGAAGCTGACCCTCTGGCAGTGTTCCCCTGTGTCTCCAAAGTAGGACCTGGGGAAGTTCTGTTTCAGCAAGCCTACCTCAGGGCCGGAGACTGTCACCCTCCTCCTGCAGGAGGGAAAGGCGGTCTCGAGGACTCCTCTATTCTCCTTGTGAGCCTTGGGCGCGCGCGCCGGTTTCTCAGCCACAGCTCAATTCAGGATGAGCCCAGAGGACCCCGGTGGGGAGGAGTGCGCCGCTGAGCGGCCACACAGCGCAGCTCTCCGGGGAGACGGTAAAATGTCACTAATTGCCCTCACCCCACCTCTGTCCCTTACCGCCTCTCGGTCCCAGCTCACGCATCCATGCAGGAGGCTCCGGTGCACCCCAGGTCACCCGCTTTCCTCCAGGGGAAGCAGACAGCACCGTGCACTGTCTGCTCAGAAGAGTTTGCTCTGTAACCCTCACCTCTGTGCAGGCCTCTTAGCAAACTCAGCTTTTCAGTCAGCTGAAGAGGGTAGAGAGGTGGCGATGGAAACACGAAAGCCCTGCGGGTACTGTGAGCGCGGCCGCGTCTCTCCGTTCATCTCTGTTGAAGGCAGCGTGTGCGCTGGCGCTGTGAAACCATTTCAGTCCACTCTCTGAGAGCCGCAGCTCACTCAGAACCCAGGGAAGGAGCGTGGTGACGACTCTTGATATTCATGAACTTCGTCACTCCATAATTAGCTTATGGTAGTTGTTCAGGGGTGTTCAGGGATGTTTATCATTAACCCCTTCCATGCAGCCGTGGTGCAGTGATCCACGAACACCCCTGTTTATAGCAGCACAACTCACAGTAGCTGAACAACTTAGATGCCCGTCAATGGATGAACAAAGAAAACATCTATTAAAATGCCCAGTAAATGGAATTTTATTGAGCCTTCAAGAAGGATAAATTTGAGCCATTTGTAGGAAAGTGGATGAATCTTGAGATTGTACTGTGAAGTGACATAAGTCAGACATAGGGAGTTAAATACTACATAGTTTCTCTCATATGAAAAACTCAATTGTAAATAAAGGGATGAAGTAGTGGATATGCTTTGAGACCATAATGGTAAGCGGACTAGATCAGACTCCTAAGCTTAAATATCACGTAGTTTCTCTTATATGAGAAACCTAAAATATAAATAAAGAGCAAAGTAAAAAACAAATAATAGGAAACTGGGAAATGGATCTTTTGCAAAAGGGAGGAGACCAAGAGGTGGAGGGAGGGGAGGGAAGGGGATGAGAAAAGAATTGAGACATGTTAGGTGCACGCACCAGTGCCATAAAGGAGCGTGAGCATTAGGTACAGCAAACATGTGCTAATAAAAATTAAAAATGAAAACCATAAAAGCCAAGTGGAGCAAAAATAAAATGAAACAATGGCAGACTTTTTGGAGTGGGGGAGGGGACCAGAGGAAGGCACAATCTTAGGGGGGAGGAAATGGGGAACAAAAATGATTAAAATACTTGATATATGTACTAATCCCCACAAACGAATGTTCCTTTCCTGTACTACAAGCGTGTACCAGTACAAAAACATTTGGCTCAGGAAGTGTATATACCCAACATACTTTGAAAGCCAAATGGTGCTTAGATTGACTTTAGTTTTCTATAGTTCTCATCAGCAGCTTCAAACACTGTAAAAGCACACCTCGCTTTACAGTGCATAAATATCACAGGATTATATTGTGTGCTGGTAATATGTGTACTTTTTATTTGTAAGTTGTACTGTTGTAGAGCGGGTCAGGACGACTGACTTACGTGGGATAGACGCAGCCCAGCTTGTGGGTTTATGTGAGTCAGACCCGGGGTGACCAGATGCCCTTGCTTTCCCTTGCCCAGGTAACTAACTGCATCAGGTTGTGCTGTGTGCAGACTTGGTCTGAGGAGGTCGTTGGAGACAGTGACGGGGAAGCGCTTTGGGGTGCTTACCCCCTTGGGATCACATTGATGAGATGGTGTTACTCAGACTTTCTAGAGCCTTGTGCCACTGGCTTCTGACATAGAGATAAAATCTGGTCAGAGTGAGTCACAGAGAAAGGGAAGGAGGGGCACCTTGGCATGAAATGCATCTGGGAAGTGGGTGCTTGGGCAGGAGGAACAGATTCCCCTGTATGTGGGGTACCTTGAGTTCTTCTGCCGTTGCCTAAACTTGTGAGGTGATCGGGTTTGTCTCAGTCTGCCTTGAAATAGGTATCTTGAGGCCACTATGAGAGAGATTTTCAAGCTGCTTCTCCAGCTCAGGATCCATTGCGTATTTAGGAAGTTCTTCGTAGCTCATGAGAGTATATGGGATTTAAATAAGCAGAGTTAAATTCTGAATCTGTGGTAAGTTATTCACATCCAAATATGTGTACTTCACAGGCGGTGATGATGGAATCCTTCTAGAACAGGATTATAGTTTGGTGTAGACCGACCCAACGGTGTAAGAAATTACATTCACATGGTAGAAAAATGACATGCTGTGTGTTGAAGTTGTCTCTGTAATTAACTGGGCTAAGGCCTTGAACAAACCACTTCTTCTCTCTGGGCTTTTATTTCCTTATCTCCTGAAAAAAGAGTTGAACTATTAATAATATAATTGTCCTGATTGACGTATTATTACCTTGGTCTTTGAATGAAAATATATCAGTTAGCTCAACACTATAAAACTAGTTATTTCATACTGAACAGAAACCTGGCTTATCAGTTACTTATTAATTTAAACGTGAAAATCAATGGGTACTTAGGAAGTATAGGTGGTTAATTGTTTGTTTGTTTTTTGTTTTTTTTTCCCATACCGGGAATCAAACTCATGACCTTGTGCTTGCCAGGCAGGCATTGTGCCGCTGAGCTAAATCCCCAGCCCCTTAGGTGGTTAATTGACAATGCATTTGAATATAAGACTCTGTGGAGAACATAATAAATTGATCCTTGGTGATGAAGGTCTGGGGACTCTTTCTATTTTCTTTCAGAAAGAATGAGTCTTCTCTGCAGTCTCCACATGGCTGACTTCATCTCCTGGTTCCTCAGGGTGTAGATCAGGGGGTTGAGCAGAGGGGAGATGACCGTGAAGGTGACGTGGATGGGCTTATCCGCAGGGAGGGCAGTGAAGGGCCGGGCGTAGACGTAGATGCAGGGCACAAAGTGCAGGGTCACCACGGTGATGTGGGCGGTGCAGGTGGAGACGGCTTTCCTCCTGCCCTCGCCTGTGTGAGACCTCAGCATTGTCAGGATGACCATGTAGGACACAAGCAGGAAGATAAACCACAGCGTAGTGACCAGGCCATTGTTGGAAATCATCAGGATCTCCAGAGCAAAAGTGTCAGTGCAGGCGAGGTTGAGGACCTGCGGGACATCGCAGTAGAAAGTGTCGAGAACGTTGGGCCCGCAGAAGGGGAGCGGGAGCAAGAGGGCGATCTGCACGATGGAGTGGATGAAGCCGCCCAGCCAAGAGGCCGCGATGAAGGCCGTGCACCGCCCGCTGCTCATGACGGTCACGTAGTGCAGGGGCCTGGAGATGGCCACGTAGCGGTCCAAGGCCATGACAGAGAGAGAGAAAATGTCTGCCCCACCAAGGAGGTGGAAGAAGAACATCTGGGTGATGCAGCCCGGGAAGGAGATGGTCTTTTTCCTTGAGAGAAGGTCGACTAGGACCTTGGGTGCAGTGACAGAGGAGAAGCAGATGTCCAGGACAGAGAGGTTGCGGAGCAGGATGTACATGGGGGTGTGAAGGCGGGGCTCGCAGGTCACGGTGACCATGATGAGGAGGTTTCCCAGCAGAGTTACCACATACACAAAACACAAAAGCAGAAATAAGACCCAGCTTAGGTCTTGGGATTGAGTAAGCCCCAGAAATGTAAATTCTTTGACTCTGGTGTAATTTCCCAACTCCATTGAATCATATTTCCTAATCCTCGTATGTCTTGGGAAAAACAGAAGGTACTACTTCCGCAAGTGTGTCCACTCTCCCATCGTAGCTTCAGGTGTATGGAGTCCAGGGTTAGGCCTGAGAGTTCAGGACGTCTCCTCCATACACAGATCACTCTCCCATTTTTCCAGGTCACATTGCGTTACACAAGTGTGCATTTCATTGTTTTTTCTTCTGTAAAATACAGATTATTTTGAAAATATATACATGTCATGTTCTAAGTAGATAAGTTCTAAGAATGCATTGTAAACAGAGATGAATGTTAAATACTCAGTGAGGGACAGTTGGTGGCTTGAGAGCTGTAACAACGGGGTTAGGTTTTTGTGTGGATAAAGTAGTGCCTGCTTGGTGCCCCCACAACACTTTGTGTTCCCCAGGAGTGAGTCCCCTGCCCCTCAGACTCCACTCCGTTTCCATGCCTCTAAGAACCCCTATATGCAGCATGGTGCCTTTTGGATTGAGTTCTATGGAAGAATTCCCATGATCCCCTTTTGTATTACAAATTTAATTCGGTGAAAAGTTAGAAAATTTTACATGGGTGTGATCCTGGGTTCAACCCTCAGTGCAGAACAAAAAAAAGGAAGTATTAGAATTTACAGCCATAAAGTTCTTCCCTATTGCTCCATTCTTCCATAAGGGGACTTCCTCGCTTCTAGTTTTACTTTGTGCTGCTTTGTGTCCCAAAACCCCTGGGTGGTGAGTAGCTCTTTCACTGTGGAAACCGAAGCAGCGCTCGGAACTTCTGTTCCCTGTTCTAATTGCCTTCTTAAAAATTAGATTTTAAAAATTGAGCTAGCATTCACATATCATGGACTGAATATTTAGAGTGTACACTCTGATACATTTTGATATAAATGCACACTCGTGATGCCTTCAGTCTAGTTAAGATAGTGAACATATTTACCCTCCTGAAAGTGACATTGTGACCCTTTATAATCTGTCCCCTTGACCTGTCTTTCTCAGACAACCACTCATCTGATTTCTGCTGATATCCTTTAATTTGTATTTTCTATAGATGCAGTCTTACTGTATGGACTCTCTTTCTGTCTGACTTCTTTCACATGCGAAATGCCTTTCTCGTTTTGTGTGTTACTGCTATTTTGTTCTTTTTTACTATGTGAATACACCAGAGTTTGTTTATCCATTCACTTTTTGGTGAACATTTGGGTTATTTTTAGCTTTTAAGCTGTTCCATCAAAAGCTACTAAGAGCAATCAAGTACAGGCCAATGTGTGGACATATGTTTTCATTTCTGCATGTAAAGAGCTAGGAATGGAATGCTGGTAACTCTTAAACTCATTAATAAGCAAACAACCTCAAGTGACCCAGTAGATGCTTCCATAAGGAGATACAGCCATAGAAAGTAAGCATATGAAAAGATATTCAGCATCTCTTATTACTGGGAAAATTTAAATTGAATTCATGGCAATATAAATCACACCACAGTATTTAAATATATATATATATTTGTTTGTTTTTTGTTTTTCAAGACAGGGTCTCTTCATGAAGTTCAGGCTGGCCTTGAGCTTACTATGTAGCCCAGGCTGGCCTTGAACTGGCAGTGATCCTCTTGTCTCAGCCTCGAGAGTGCTTCGATTACAGGCGTGAGCCATCACACCCAGCAACACAGTGTAAATTTAAGAAACATTTTACCCTTATCAGAATGCTTAATGACATATCTGGAATAGGCAGAGATGTAGGAAACTGGAACACTTGTGGGAATTAAAAACAGTAAACCACTTCTACAAAGAGTTTCTTTTTTCACTGGTTGAATTTACTTTTAATTTTCTTCAATTTCTATTTTGTATTGGTACATGATGTTTATGTGCTTTGTGGGGAGCTGGTGCATGCCCAGAACACATCTCAAATCTTTCCTCATCCCCCTTCCTCTCCTCTCTCTTCTCTCTTCATCTCTTGGTCCCCTTCCCTTTTACAAATTTCTGTCTCCTTATTTCCTACTGTCTGTCTTTTGTTTTGCACTTGACTTGTATTTTGGGTTTTCTCACGTAAGAGAAACCTTGCTATATTTAAGCTTGTGTGTCTGATTTACTTCACTTAACATTACGACCTGGTGTTGGATGCGTTTCCTACAGAGGACCCAAGCTGCTCTTGTGCGGCAGAGGAGGGCTTCAGGGTGTTGGTAGTTTCTTAGAATGTTAAAGAGATACTCACCACATAATTGTGCTACTTCTGAGTGCCTTCCTTTTTCTTCTGAACCCTTGAAGTAGGTCTCACTTTCTCTCTTCTCCGTTTGTGTAGTTTTCTTTCTATAACCAGAAACAGAAGAAAGGCAGCAGTCATTTCCCGACCTTTTCCAAGGTGTTTTCAGCTCCGGTGATGACGATTCTTTTCGTCTAGCTCACTTTCTCTTCAAGTTTTCTTTCCTTCCTATGTGACTTTCACCCAAACTTTGTTTAACTAAGAAAAGTAAAACTTGAGCTACCAAGGGGCAGTAGGTAGCTAGTGGACTGTGGCACCACCCGGCCTGTGCAAATCCCAGCTGGACCCTCACTGGTTATGACCGTATTACCTCGTCCCCTGGGCTCAGTCTCCACACTGGTCATCTGCAGAAAGTTGCATCTTCTTTATGTCATTCTTGTGAGAGCAAATGATCTCCGCTGTGCAAAGCATCACACTGGAGGCATCGCCTAGTTCCCAGTAGGTGTGACTGTGTGTGTGCCTTAAAGAAGCTCAGGCCTGTGAACTCACACACACATAGCTTCCTCAGATACACAGACAGTCTTTTAGAGGTGCTGGAACACACTGTCCTGAGGACGATAGGAGATATTTTTGTTTCAGGGACACAGCATCTCAGCGGACAGTGACTCTGAGAACGTGGGTTGCCTGCTCTCCGGCCTGGCATCTCGGGAGCTCAGTGGGGAAGTTGCTCAGTGCAGAGGCTGTGTAGCAAGAGCCAGTGGTCCAAGTCCTGACTGCTTGTGTGTGATCCCACTGGCTCCTCACTTACCCCCTGGGCAGTGGCAATAGTGCCCACCTTCAAGGGAGCCGGGAGGAGCAGGTGGTTCCCCGTGGGAGGCTGGCTGCTGACAGGATGGTTACCTGTTGTAACTGCATTGGAGAGCCTCACCAGAGGAGGCTCCCTGGGAAATGCAGCCTGTGGAGCGGAGCTGTGCACCCTGATTAGCTAAAGGAGTAGGGCATTGTCATCAGATAATATCAACACAGTGTAGTTACTGGAGATGTTGAGGAGAAGCAACTTAGTTATAAAAGTCTTCCATGGAGACCCCCATTTGCATGGTGTGCTGTGCAGGTGGTCAGTGCTTCTGGTGGAAGAATACATCTTTTGTTGGCAAACTGTCCTTGGTAATTCAAAGGCAACCTGGGCAAGCTTCTTCCCCACCTTTCTGCTCTTTCTATTCCATCCAATCACTTAGCAGATAGTGATGAGCAGTGGCAGTGTTTAGGTTACCTGAGGGAAACCCACGAGGAGAAGCATGGGAATGTAGTGACTGCATGGGGCCTGGGGACCTTCTCAGGACAGATGAGAAGCTGAGAGTGAGAAAAGAATGACTTCTCAGAAAGACTGCATGGAGCAGGTGCTCTTGGGAATGGGAAGAAAGAGTGTGCTGGCTTTGGGAGGCCACTTGAACATGGGAATTTGCTTTTAAACAGGAAGTCTGGCTGGAAAGAAAGGGTGAGAACATGAAAGTACTGGAAGACAGAGAAGAAAATTATTGCTGTAATTTTTGGGGGCAAATTTAAAGAAGGGTTTGAAGGTGTTTATTGTATTAGACAAGATTGGGCGTGTTCTAGGTGGTATGTTTATTGCATTAGTCTTTCAACCTTCCCTTCCCTTCCCAATCTCTTCCTTCCTTCCCACCTTCCTTCCTTCCTTCCTTTCTCCCTCCCTCCTCCATTTTTTCCTTTCTTTCTTCTTTCCTCCCTCTCTCCCTTCCTTCCCTCCTTGCTGGGAATTAAACCCAGGCCCCTGTACATGCTAGTCAAGTGGTCTGTCATGGAGCCATACCCCAGCTCTGTCTTTCAGCTTCTCTCTCTCTCTGTCTCTTCTTTCCTTCCTTCCTTCCTTCCTTCCTTCCTTCCTTCCTTCCTTCCTTCCTTCCTTTTTTTTGGTAAACTTTTCTGAGGTTTGAAATATTTTATTTTACTTTGTGGACTAATATTTAGTGTAAGGGTCACTCCTGTAGATTTAAGTCTGAGGAGATCCACTGCTCAGAGAAAAGATGCCCAAGAAAAGTCCCTTCCTGTACTGCTGAAGAAGCACCGGAGAACAAGTGCAGTCTCCTTTGCCGTTCCACACTGGTTTCCATGCCTCGTTCCGCAGCACCCTCTTCACTAACCTTCGTCCTCTGTGGCTGAAGGCCCTGGGCACGCAGCCCCCAGTGCTCGTCGGACATTGTGTGTATCGGGACGCACTTCTGCATCTTAACGATTACACCTGGGTTTCAGTATTTTCATTGCTACTGTCTCACTCTTGTCCACAGAGCCCTACACGTCACAAGCACACACACTGCTGTAAAGTTATGTATCTTACTTACAATCTTCAGCCTTCTTTCTGGGACTCTAGTATCTTTAGTAGGGATGGGAATCATTTGGCTTCAGACTTCCCCTTGGGGTGACAAAGGGCAAACTCAGGGAATAACATTTTCTCACTGCTTCCCCGCTGACTCACAGGGCTTTGTCACGTGTACCGGTTCCTCAGCCCCAGGACAAGTGTGAGAATTATCAGCGGGATTAAAACGGGTGTGGCTGCAGAAAAGTCCTGTGGCTGGTGAAGCTGTTTCGGTGGGAGTAATTAGGAAGTTATGAGGCTCAGGTGCTTAGGAGCACACGTTTTGTCTTGGGTCTGAAGTTTTCTCCATGCTGCCAAAAAAGCACATTCCCTCATGCAGGGGCTTTCATAGGAAGGGAGCTTATGTTCAAATGTGTCCAGCTGAATTTCCTAGGAAACCCAAATAGCTGTGCTCTTGGGCACGAGAGGCGCCTG